CCCCTCTCCCCCGCCGCTCTTCCTCTCTTCCCCCACCGCTTCTCCCCTTCTCCTCAGCTTCACGCCCACACGCTGCTGCAGGGCTGCGGGAATGGCGCATCTGCGCATGCACTTGCGGCAGTCAAGACGGCGCGCCGTCCAGGCCTTCGGCCGCCGCCTGAGCAAGTTCTCACCGGGAACTTCCCCCTGAACGTCTCCGAGCCCAGGATGATGCCGTCAGCGCCGTCCAGCACCAGGTTGGCCACGTCGGTGGCCTCGGCCCTGGGTGACATAAGATTAGTCACCGGGTGACGGCAGATGACGAATGGAGCGGGATTGAGCGGGTGGGGAAGCGCGGTTGGGGGGGAGCCGTGATGGGAGCGGGGATCGTAGAAGCAGGCGAGGCATGGCACATGTGGCGTGGCCGGCGGGATGGGCGGCTGCATTGGGGGCTGGCATGGCGCTGCGGGGGCGGCGGGCGCGTGCACGCAGGTGCGCAGCCGGCCAGTCGATTAAATTGAGGGTGTGCCTGCAAGTGGCGTCCACACAATACCGGCGGGGCACGTCGGGTGGTTTGTGTTTATCGAGTCTGTGCATGCGTCTGTTGATGGCGTGGTGACGTGCGTGCGAGGTGTCCGCACCTGGTGGGGCGGGGCGCCTCAGTCATGGTGTCCACCACGCGCGTCACAAACACGGGCTTGCCCGCAAAATTGCACTCCTGGCGTTGGGTTTTAGGGTGTAGGGTCGGTCGAGTTGGGGGCCGGGCACAGCTGGATGGGTGGAGGGAAATGCAATATGCTTCTAGAAAAGAAACAAGTTGCCTGTTGCTCAGGCTTCAAAGGGCACGGAGGCTCAGGTTCACGTCTGGGCAGCGCGATCGCATGCTCGGCCCAAGCGCCCCTGCTCTCCCCTCCTTGTGAAAGGGCCCACCACCAAAACGAGCCCCAAAGCGCCCCCAGGGATGGCAGGGGCCGGCAATCAGAAAAAGGGTCGAGGGTTTGACGCGGCCCCGCCCCACCGAGAGCAGCATCTTCTGCGCGAGGAACATCTTCTCGGGGTCGAGGCAGTTGCCCATGGAGCCCCGGGACAGCACCACACTGTCGGCCGCACCGATGATCTCCCTGTGGTTCACCAGACCCTCCTGCGGGAGTGGTTGATATTGGAAGCCGCAATTTTATTGATGCATCCAGAGTATACATGTGCATATCTGAATATACAGACGTGGGTGTTTTTTTGGGTGGTTTTTGATGGATGTTTGGTGGTGTTACAGGGAGAGGGCATGATCTCCCTGTAGTTCACCAGGCCCTCCTGAGGCGGTGATTGTGATTCACATCGCATCATTTTCATTATCAGGTGTTCAGTAGGGCAGGGGGAACTGACGGCCGGACGATTGTTTTGGGTGGATCTTTGGTGGTTTTTTGGTGGTTTATTGGTGGTTTGTTCTGATCAGGGGGTAGCCTGTCAGGTGGGCGATTGGGGCGGGGGAGGGGTGCTGACGGGCGGAAGCTTGGCGGCCTGTTGCTCATTGTAGGGGAGGGGCAGATGCCCTCCCCTGTTTCCCGGCACCAGTCGCGGGGACCCAGGGCGGCCCGGCCACCGGCGCCGCGTCAGCAAAGCCGCTCCGCTGCGTATAAAACCCCAGCCCGCGCCAGCTCACGTGCTGCGCCGCGGCGACACCCCCGAAACCCAGCAAGCCATATCAGACAGCCTGCGCCACAAACCCAGCCCCTCCAAGAAAACAAAAGTGCGCCCCCACCTTGTTCTCGATCTTGGCGATGATCTTGGTGTTGCGCATGCCGATGGCGTCGAGGTAGGCGCGCGCCTCCGCCACGTCAGCGGCCGACCTCGTAAAGCTCAACGCCACAAAGTCCACCGCGTTGGGCTTGCCAAAGCGCACCAGCGCCCTCTTGTCCTGTTTTGTTGTCGCAGTGTCAGATGATGGTTTTATGGGTTTGGATTGAGGGGGGCATAACTTGGTTGGTTCGAATTATGTTTGGTTGGTTGGTTGATTGGTCAGAGGAGATGATGTTGGGATGGGGTCTGTCACCAGGCGTTAGGGCGTCGTCCAAAGGGGGAAGGGGCGGCATGTCCATGCCGTGTTGCGGCCCAGCAGGCGCAAAAGCGCCCTTTGGCTTCCGGTGCGACTCGAACCTGTGCAGCTGCACGCAGCGCCCCCCCCCCCTCTCTCCCGTGCTCGGCTTGCGCTCACGCGGTCCCCCGCAGCCCCAGCTCCACAGATTATAGTGAAAAGCCCGATCCAAATCACATCATGCATACAGGGCCCGCGCCCCGCGGCCGCACCTGCTCCGAGAGGATGGGCGCCGCGTTGCTCATGTTGCCAAAGTGCACCGTCAGCTGCACCCCCTCCAGCACGCACGAGTTGGCCACCAGGCACGCGACGCTCTGGCCGTCCTCCGCCACCGACTGCACAGTCAGGTAGGCACTCGTGGTCTCTGACCCGGTGAAAAGGTACTGGCCGACGAATATGTTGCGCCCCGGCTGCAGGCCGGAGCCGTGCAGGGAGGGGTAGGAGATGGGGAGCAGGGAGCTGGAGGCTGGCGCGGCGGCGTCGCAGGTGAGGGTGATGGTCTGGCCGGCGGTGAGGGCGATGGGGTCTGGGGACCTGGGGGGGGGAGAGGGATGGGGCGTGTGTGATTATGCGGTTGTGTGTGTTTGTGTGCAGAATGTTGAGAAGGCTCACAGTTTGCTTACAGGGGGGGCAGAGCGCAAGAGCAGCTGTATGAAAGGCCGGCTGCGTTCCGCGCGTTGAAACTGCGCTGCCATCTCCGCCGCCGCCGCTGCTGGTTCTGCCGCTGCCGTTGCTTGTGCTGCCCCTATTTCCTTTTGCTGCACCGGCCGGTTATGCTGCCTCTGCCTTCACCCACACCAAGCGGCGCGTCATGCACCCGCCCGCGCCCAGCCAGACGCGGCATCTTTGCCC